CAAAGGAGAAAACAGAGAAGGAAAAACAAAAACAAAAAAACTAGAAAACACAATGGCTGAAAACTTTCCAAACGTGATGAAACCTATAAACCAGTGAATCTAGGAAGTTCAACAAACCCCATACACAAGAATCATGAGGAAAATCACAGCAATATACAACATAATCAAACTGCTCAAAACCAATATGAAACAGAAAAATCTCAGAAGCAGCCAAAGAAAAAAAGAGGTGTTATATATAAAAGAACAAAGGATAACATACAATCAGAAACAATACAAGACAAGGGGGTAACACCATTAAAGCCCTGAAAGAAAAAGAAAAAAACCCTGTCAACCTAGAACTCTGTCAAAATTCTGGCAAAAATATCTTTTGAAAATCGAGGCAAAATAAAAATGTTTTCAGACATACAAAAGCTGAAATATTTCATCACCAGAAGATTCACATTACCAGAAAGATTAAAAATCCTTCAGGCAGAAGGAAAATTATACAGATAAAAATAATCTACATAAAGGAGTGAAGAGCAACAGATATGGCAACTATAGGAAAAAATACATAAGAATTTTTCCATATCATCTACATCTCTTTTAAGAGATAATTAACTATTTAAAGTAAAATAATGACAATGTATTGTGAATTTATAGTAATATGTAAAGTAAACACATGGCAACAATTGCATAAAGGAGAAAAATTTAAGTATACTTTTGTAAGGTTCCTATATTACACGTGAAGCAGTGTAACATGAGTGCATTGTGTAAGTTAAAAATGTATAGTATAAACCCTAAAGCAATCACTGAAAAAAAGCCAAAAATTATAGCTAATAAGCCAACAAATGTGATAAAAATGGGTTCATTAAAAAAATACTCAATCCAAGACAGAAAAGTGGGAAAATTCCATTTTCCCAAAGACTAAATGGACCAACAGAACACCAACAAGATGAAAGACCCAAACCTAACAAAATCAATGAACACATTAAATGTAAACAGTCTAATTAAAAGATAGAGATTATCAGTTTGAATTAAAAAAGAGCCAACGGTTTTTGCCAATAAGAAATGGACACTGAATACAAAGACACAAATAGGGTAAAAGTAAAAGAATGGAAAAAAATATATATACACATACATACACTCACTTTGGTAACGTTAATTAAAAGAAAGCTAGAGTGACTAGTATTAAACAGTAGAATTCAGAGCAGACTATCACCAAAGATAAAGCAGGTTACTTCATAACGATAAGGTGGTCAATTTATCGAGAGGACATAATAATTAATAACGTTTATGTAACATAAAACAGCTTCAAAATACATGAGGCAAAAACTGATATAACTGCAAGGAAAAATAGGAAAACCCACAATTATAGTCAGATTTCAATATCCCTCTCTCATACAATAAGGATAAATTCAAAGTAATCATGCTGAGTTAAAAGAAGCCAGACAAAAAAGTACATATTGTCTAATTCCATGCATACGAAACTCTAGAAAACACAAATAATCTATAGTGACAGAAAGCAAATCAGGAGTTGCTTAGGGACTGAAAGGAGAAGGGGAGGAACAGAGGGCTGGTTACAGAAGGGCACAAGGGAATTTTTGGGAATGAGAGCTAAGTTTACCATCTTGATTGTGGTGACGCCTTCAGGAATGTATACATACACATGTCAAAACTTGTCAAACTATACACTTAAATATGTTACTGTCAATTATATCTCAATAAAGCTGTTCAATGTTATCTGTAATATAAAGATCATTCATCAGGCATGCTCCAGCCCGGAGATGAAGCACTGAAAAAGATGGATACAGGACCCTCAATACAGAACAGTCTTAGCAGAGAAGAGACACAAATACAACAAAGTGTGCTAAAGTCTGCAAAGTCCCAGGTACCATGGGAAGTACAGATTCTATGGCATAGATTCAAACTAAATAGTCAAGAAAGGAATCGCTGAGTCAATAAACATGTAAACCAAGAGGAAAGAATGGAGTATGAATTAGCTAGGTGAAATACAGGAGGGAAATAAATACATTTACTGAATGAAGATTCTAGGGAAAAAAATGTAAGGTAAATGTCCAGAAATGGAACTGCTAGGTCAAAGGGCAGTTAAAATTTTATATGAAAGGTTTTTTTGCTTAGTTTTTGGAACAGAAAAACACAAAGTGACATTTACTATTTATGTAGCAGAGATTTCAGAACAATTTAATTACAATTAAGACAAGAGAATAAAACTCAATCCTAGCTCTTTGAGACCAGACACCACATCTTCATTCTCACATTCCAAATGCAGAGCTTCACACACCACAGGTGCCTGCCATTTGCTGAATTAATATAAATTCCTTGGGTTGGTTATAAAAGAAATCAAATTGTCAGGAGGAGCTGCTTAGTCATAGTTCACAATATCTCTAGAAGTGATAGTTTTTAAAAGAATTAACCTCTTCTTCTTCATCCTCCTCAAATAATTAATTCTTAACGAAAGCCCCTTATCTGAACTACTGCAAAGCCTCCAAATTGGTTTTTCCAGTCTCCATTCCCCTCTTCTTCCAAACTCAGTCTCCACAAAGCCTAGGAGTAATCAATTCAATCCCCAAGTCTGTCATTTCCCTTCATACTTAAAACCCTAAACAGCACCTCATTGACTCCATCTGTGCATGCCAAACAGCCTCTAAGACCAACACCAGTGAAATCAGGCGAGAAAAAGGACAACTTAACAGGTTTTCAAAAGTTAATGTATTCAATTTAGAGGACTATTTGTTGTGAGATTCTGCTTTCTGCTTTTTTGGTGTTAAAATATCCTTTTGCTTATGAAAGGGTGGACGAGTACATGACAGTTTTTAAGAAACACCTCCACTAAGCAAATTAAAAAATTGGCAAATCTGTGACAGCTGAGCTTTATATTTTATTGTAGTGGCCCATGGAAGTCTGGGAAACACTGACTTAGGGCAAAGTCCGAAAGACAAAAAGTGCCCTCATTTAAGTCCTCTCATTTTCCCAGGACATTTTTTGATCTGGCAATACAGGGCTGTAATAGTGTCCTGCACACAACCTCATTTTTTCCCTTTGCTTTGCCATGAATGGAATGACCTCAACAACTTCTCTTCTTCGTTTACCCCGTTTTCTGAGTACCCACAATGCCAAGCACTAGAGAGAGCAGTAAGCAAAAGAGAAACACACCACTGTACCCATGGAACTTACAGCCTAGCGGAGGAAACAGATATCAAATAAATGTAGAATTAAACTGTAGTAAGTACTGCCTTAGAAAGAATAGAATGAAGGAGCCCAAAATCCAAGGCTGGAAGCCTAGCTAGGAAGGTACTATAGTTCCCATGAGAGATAATGACTCGAACAGGGATAGAGGCATAGAGAAGCCAAGATTTTGAGTTGACTGGATTTGCTGAAAACCTGAATAAGAGCTAAAAGAAAAGAAATACACCAAAGTCGACTCCACTATGAGCAACTATATCAACTTGCCGAGCAGTCACAATACTTTATGCTTCCCTGGATCTATGCCCTTTGGTTTGAGCTTCCCATACTGACTCTAGGCTTGATTACATGACTTGCTTTGGCCAATGGGACAACAGTAAAATTACTACAAGCAGAGCCTGATACAGCACTTGTGCACTGCTTCTTGTCTCTCCAAATAAGCCTATGCCAGCCTGCTGAAGGATGCAAGACCTCAAGGAGGAGAGCCAAGCAGAGAGCATCAGAAATAATCTTAAACCAGACTACAGCCAGAGAACCCCCAAATTTATAAGAAGTCCAGTCATGACTAGAACCACCTAGCTGACCTGTAGGGGTGTGAGCAATAATAACTGCTTATAGTTTTGAGACACTGAGTTTTGGGATTTCTTTTAATGCAAAGCTAACTAACATAGCGGTACCATTTACTCACACGGGGTGGGAGAGAGAAGGGAAGAAAAAGAAATAATAAGCTCACTTCCTCTTACCTTGGTCAACTCCTACCTACCATTTAAAGCTGAACTTAGATATCAACTCCTTCAGGAAGCTTTCCCAGATGTCCTGGGCTGGTTTGGGAAAGATATTGAAATACTACCATTATGTTTTGCACATATCCCTATCACTGCTTTACCACACTGTCTTATAATTATCTACTTACACTTCTTTTCCTAACCAGACAATAGCATTTTTATGTTACTGTGTCATATTCACCTTGACAGTATCAGCATATAGCATAAAACAGGCTCTTAACAGAGATTTCTGAATTTACTACATAAGTTATATATTAAATGAATAAACATTTACTTGATAGTGTGAAGTCTATTAACTATTTCTCAAAGTGTGATTCACTGACAATATGTATTGGAATCAATACGGTTTTCTATTAAAAATGCAACCCCTGGGCTTTTCATCTTTAACAAAAATACCATTCTTCATGTTGTAAAAACAAAGATGAATGTTCTCGCCATCTATAGATAAACAAAACCAGTAGTAGAAGTATGGGTGCTAAACCAACTTTTCCTCAAACTTTTCTCGAAACGTAATCCACGATAGAGTCTTTAGTCTGATAGCCTAGGTAATTAAAAATACTCTTAACTGCAATGGACTTTCTCTTCTAAGAACTGGGTCTCGGCCAGAGGAAACAGGAGCAAAGGGTCCTCCAAACAGTTTGGCTTCTCAACACACACGTTTACAGAGGCTGCACCAGGAGGAAAGTCTATCCTGAGCTTTCGCCGCAGCAGGGGCCAGGCCAAGACCCACAGGCGGGCAGAGTCCAGGCAGCATCGCGTTAAGGACCGCGGAGCCCGGGCAGCGGAGCCGAAGACCGAGCCAGAGTCCCGCTACGGAAAACCCACTAGAAGGCGGCTCTCTCAGGGTTCAGAAATGGGCGTCCTTCTCCAGAAGCAGCCACCCTGAGTCCACCCGAGCCCAGCGGGCCGTGAGGAAGGCCACGGTCGCCTTGCCAGCTGAAGTCAGAACGGAAGAAAGTGCTGGAAGGGCCAGGCAGAAAGCAGCCGAAAGGGGAAAGGAACAGACTGCGAGGGGACGCCGCCGCTTCCCACCTGCGTCAAGCTCCAGCTGGTAACAGGGCAGCGGCTCGAGGGAGAGCTTGTAACCTTCGAAGCGGGGATCCAACAGAGGTCTTTTCACCCGCAGGGAGCAATTAGCTGCCACCTCCATCGCCTTCCAGGGTCCTAGCGTGATAATTAATAAATCTCACGTTAAAAGGTCCGCGCTTAACTCGCAGCACGCAGCCTGGGAGGCAGCGTGGTTCCCATCCCAGAAAACACTGCGGTGTGGCGTGCCTTCTGGGAAACGTAGTGTTCTCGAGAAAGTTGGTTCTGTTGCATGCTGGGATATGTAGTTTTCCGGGGACGTTCCTGCTCATACGACAGCAGGAGCTGGACTCTCTTACCCAGAAGGCGAAGCGACCAGGAGGCGGCCCGCGCTGGTTAAATTCTCACATTATAGGCAGAGTGGCGAGACCCGCCCCGGAAATGCGTGTGCTAGCTTTCTGTGTGCTTAGGTGCCCGAGCTACTGAGGGTCTAGGTCCGGGCAGCCGAAGAGTGTGGTAGGTAACGGTCGTCAGCGCAAGGGTCATTTCGTCGCTGGGAAGGGACGGCCCTCGCCCGCGGTGATGGTGGTGAGCTATGCCCGTGGTCCTCAGGGCCGGGACCCGGGCCCAGCCCAGGCTCGTTTCGATGTGCTGTCTTTCGTTAGCTTCCCCGACCCGCGCTCGCGGGCCTGTAGGGCTCTCCGACAGGGCGTGCTACCGGAGTTGGCCTGAAGCCAGTCCTCGCTTTGTTTTCTGACTCCTCCCCTCCCGCCTCTCCCGCTGTCTCCGCCCTGTTCTATTTTCCCAAAGAATGTCTGAACTGGGAGGGATCCCCTAGCGCCCTTGTTTTACCAGTGAGAAAACTGAGGCCTTTAAGAACTGACTTGTCCAAGGTCACTGTCTGTATTTTAGGGGCCAAGGCAAGATCAAGTTAAATATTCTAGGAATGGTACTGTCTAGACCTTATATTATTTTGAAAATGTTAGCCTCCAACTTCAAAAGCAAACATTTCCTAGTCCCTTTTCAACCTCTCCTTTTTCCTGTTCCACTCAAAAAACGAAAGAAAATCAACTCTGAAAACTCATTGCCAGTCTAAGTTTTCATATAAGCGAGGTTGGAGACAACAGAAGTAGTCTCAAGTTAGTGACAGATGAGTGGAGTAATGTTAGCTTATCCCAAGTTTTACAACCTAACCTTACTCTCCTTTCTGCACTGTTTTGTCTGTTTTTACTAAAAATTGAGAATTTTCTAAGTTAAGAGTAAGTTTGAGATTTGTTTTCTCTTTAACCCACCAGCAAGCTCTTTGGTAAACAGCGAGCACACACACAAACTTAAAGCTAGTTTGACAGTTGTAATTCTGGATATATCCTAGTGAAAAGTAAAGTAAAGCACTTAAAGCTTTACTAGGAAATTACACTTTTCACCAGGTGTGTTTAATCTCTTATTGATAGTTAGGTAATATAGCTTCCCCAAAATTGTGAATGCAGTTAAGGTGCGGAAATGATTAGCAATTATGTGCTGTTAAAGTGTTTGGGAGCTTCTAGGGTCACAGTACCTGAGTTTAAATCCTCTTTTTACCAGTTTACTATCTCAGTGCCTCAGTTTCCTCATCTGTAAAATACAAATTATCTTAATACTACTTACATAAAAGAATAAGTTCTGGGAATTAAATGAGATTAAAAAGTCAACGTGTTAACCCAGTGCCAGGCACATAAGTGTTTAATAAATGTTACAGGAATTATTATTATCCAAAGACTTATTGATAAAGAGTATATGGGGGAAGAAAACTGAATAGTTCATCATTATGACTTCTTGGGATGCAGTAAATAATACTAAGAGTAATGAATTAACACATTGTTGAAATTTATCACCCCTTCAGTTGATAGAATGTTAAACATGTTGAGGTGCTTGCCTAGAGGATTTAGGAAAAAATGCTTTGTAAGTATTCTATATCTGAAAATACATGTTGATGTTCAGGTTAGCAAGATGAACAAAGATGCACAGATGAGAGCAGCGATTAACCAAAAGTTGATAGAAACTGGAGAAAGAGAACGGTAAGTAACAGATTATGTTAATGAATTAAATTTAACATCTTTAAATTATAGTTGTGTTATGAGAATCTAAATATCAAATAACAAAACTGATGTCAGTGGAAGTAATTACAGAAAATTGAGATTATCAAAAGCTTCAATTCTTGTCATCTCTAGAAAAGTGATTAGTTCTGTTAAATATTGCGAGACTTGGAAGGAGATAATGTAGAAAGATGAACAAGAAATGACTCTCAAAAACTGTAGAATCTAATGGAGAAGAAAAATGCATACTCAAATAACTACAATTGAAGATATAATGTTACTCAGTTTTTAACAGGGAGACAACATGATAGAACCAGTTTCAATTACCAAACTCTTTTAACCTGAGAGTAGCATGTGGTATTCCTACTCTCGGAAACATTCTTCGTCCTCCCTCCCGTCTTTAATTCTAGCTCATCATTCAGGTCTTAATTTAAATATCATCTCTTCTAGGAATCTGTTAACTCCCACATACCTTATCCTGTCATAGCTTTTAATCACCTTGTATTGTAACCACCTACTTTGCTAGTTTGTATCCTCCAATATAATCAGAGTTTCTTGACAGCAGAAATAAACCCAGCATCATGCTTAGCACATAATTGGCCAAGTAAATATTTGAAGAATGAACAGGTTTGGAAGTACAAAGGAATCAAAAAAGACTTCCTGGAGTGGGATGATAAATTGTATGAGAGAAATATATATAAAAAGCAAGAGGGATCTTTCAGCTCTACCTGGAGGTTAATGTGATCAGTAAATGTCTCACAGAATAGTAAAAGAGGTACTTCAGCTGGAAGAGAAAGATTAGCCATTCCCCAACCCAATAAAGGAGGGATGACAATCTAGGCAGATGGAACCAAATATGTAAATTCAAAGAGATTTGTTACAACATAATATTCTGGGGAACTGCACAATTAAAATGTGAAAGATAGTGGACAGGAAGAGTGTGGCTTTTGTATAATCAGAAATCTTTCAATTGAAAATGATAAACTGAACTCAGGAACTGGCTCAAACAATGGAAATATATAAGCTCATGTAACTAAAAGTCTAGGGCTTAAGGGTTCTTAAGGCACCACTAGCTCCAGGTACTCAAAAATTGTTGCCAAGAATGTCTTCTCTCTCTCATCTCTGCTTCCGTCTGAATTGGCTTTATTCTCAAGAAGGCAGTACCCACAGGGTGGCAGAGATTAGCGGTTGAAACTTTACATCCCTCCAGCTGAGACTGCCTTCCCCCTAGTAGTTTCAGCAAAGGACCTAGCTTGATTACCATCTTACTTAGGTAACAGATCATTCATGATCAGCCTTGCCTAGGTCACATTTCCATTGCTAGAGCCCAACCCAGATTTCTTACACTGAGAGTTGTGGAGTGTTTTTACTGTCAAAGAAATGGCAGGGAAATGGATGGTGGGTTTGCAGAAACTACTGTTGAATTCATCTTTGGGTGGTGGGAGTCATTAAAAAATTTTAAGAAGAGGAATGACTAGATCACATCTGCACTTGAGGAATGTTACTTTGGCAGTGTGGAGCCGAGACTTGAAGGGCTAGAGATAGATTGCAAAAGATAACATGAGATTAAAAGTGCAAAACAACAAAAATGGAAAGGAGAACTTAGAATTTTTTTTAAAGTAAAGTCAACAACCCTTGATATGAGGAATAAGGAATGAGGAAGAAGGCCTCTAGAACAGTGTCTTGAGAAACTAAGAGGATTGCCAGTGATAAGCATAGGGGATTATGTATCATTTATTTATTTGTATTTCCATCATGCAGCTCAAAGTTACTGAGTTTCTACTTAATACCATGTCCTGTTGAGGTGCTGGAGACACAGTAGTGAAGTCGGTTCTTTTATACAGTTCACAGTCTAATGGGAGGAGATAGAAAATAGATGTGTAATGTGTCATGGTGATGAGTTCTAGAGGCAAAATAAAGCAGAGAAGAATCAGGTGTGTTATTTTGGATAGAAAAAAAACAAGGCTTCACTGGTAAGAGGTCAAAAGGATATGAGGGTATGAGGGGCCTCTAAGCTCCTGAGACAGGAGCTTGCCTGGCATTTTGAGGAACCCATAGAAGCTAATGAGACTGAGTAAATTGGGAGAGGGAGAGAAACGATAAAGTCAGAGCCATCACTGGGGAGGGGGCAGACCACGGAAGGTCACTGACGCTGTAGTAAAGACTCAGAATTTTATTTGGAGTAAATTGGGAAGCCACTGGAGGGTTCTGAGCAGTGGAAGGAGAAGGAACTGTACACAGGAACAATCAGGGGGACAAGTTAGGAGGTTTTGGCAACAGTCTAGTCAAGAGACAATGGTGGCTCTGTAGTAATGGCAGAGGTGGTAAAAAACATTTGGATTTCAGATAGGTGTTTTAAAACTGGAACCAGGGGATGAGGAATACCTCAGTGGTAGAGAATGTGCTTAGCATGTAGGAGGTCCTGGGTTCAACCCCCAGTACTGTGATTAAAAAATAATAATAATTTTAAAAATAATAAAATAGGTGAGTGGTATAGCTCAGTGGTAGGGCACATGTTTAGAATGCACAAGGCCCTGGGTTTAATCCTCCATTAAAAAAAATAGAACAATCATTTCAAAAATAAATGGGCATGTGCTCACAGTTAACAGCAAAAAAATTTTTGAAATAAAACCAGAACCGATAGGATATGCTTATGGATTGGATGTTAGTGTTAATCAGAATTGCTGAGTGAAGGACGCTGCCAAGGCTTCTGGCTTGAGGACCCAGTTGGCATTTTGACAAGAACAGGTTGAGGTGGAAGAGAAGCAGGAGTTGGAGTTTGGTCCTATTAAGATTAAAAGACTTAATTAAACACTGAGATGAAAATGTCACGTAGTAGATGTCAGGAATATTGAAAAAGAAGCGGTTTGGTTTGGGATGTGACATGTTTAAGCTAAGAAATGAGATGATTTAGGTTGAAGATTGAGGGTTTTTTAAGAGGAGGCATGGCAAAGGGATAAAGTATTTTATTGTACCCATGATGCCATTAGTTGCAATACACACCGTTATTTTTTTTACCAGTAAGAATAAAGAAAATACTGCCAATTAAATTATAATAGGCATGCCAGTTACTGAAATATTAAAATGTGTTTTAGAATTAAACACCATAGTTAATGTATAATTTAGAAGGTTAGTGGGTAAGAGGGAAGGGGAA